CCAGCTAGAATCAACAAATGAGAGTCAAGAAAAGGAAATGTGCTAAAAAGATTATTTATAAAATCAGGATTGTCAAAGTTTGGTGCATAAATGTTGTATCCGGATACGATACTCATTTTCAAAAGTATCGATACCACCGCGCGAGCGACGCTGACCTGCCGTCGCTGCGCCCCTTCTTTCAGATTTATTTTACGTATTTATTTACGTTGTTTATTATCATTAACGTAACGTTAGCCTTGAACTGCTAGCCGCGGCTAATGGCTAATAATAACATGCTACCATTAATCAAGTACATATCCGTCTCAGCCCACATCCAAATCAGCCATTTTGATTACCAAAGGCCGAATACCAAAGGATTTCTCTTTTGTCACCAAAAGGGAAATCCCAGGCAAGAAAATAGTAATGCCTCATGGCAATATAGACATTCATTTAAAAATAGTGAAATTAATCTTTCAAACACTTAATTAAACTCTATCCATAATATTATGTTAAAATAGTGGATGTGAAATAGGTTTGTACAATAAGTCCAAACAAGTTTAACCCCAAAAGTGTTTCTCACAATTATGAAGGGTGGAGGGTTAGGGTCAGGGGGAGGGTCAGGGTTAGAGTTAGGATTAGGGTCAGGATTAGGGTAATTAATTCGGGCCACCAGCCACGATAACATCAGTAACAGGTCAGTTTCAAATGAAAGACACTAACCTGTCAAAATTCAGTTAAATTTTGGGGTCTTTGTTTTTATCCTTGTGGTATCGAAAATGGTATCGAGTATCGAGTATTTTCCTGAGTATCGGTATCTAGTTGAAAATTTTAGTATCGTGACAACCCTACATGTGACCAGTTGTTTATAACAGAAGTTGAAGGATATTGCCACCCCCTCCATCCCCAAGAAGGAACAAAAGAAACATAAAATAAAATAAAATAAGGTAAAAAAAGAAAAAAAGAAAAAAAGAAAAAGAAAAAGAAAAAGAAAAAAGAAACACACAAAAAACAACATATACAAACATTTTCCCCCACCCCTTGCTTGCACTCTGCCCTTCCCCAAATGAAGGGACCGTGCAGACTTCAACAGGAGCCACTAGAAAACTTATCCTTACAGCCGAACAGCGCAACACCAACAAAAAAAACTCCCTGTGATAGTAGGCGAGTCCTGCAGAATCAGCAGAATAGAGAAAAAATTAAAATATACAATATGCACTTTTCTAGGAAATCAACAACACCTACAG